CCCAAAAAGTGACTAAAAAAACATTTAATTTATCATAATGGAATAAGGCGGCATCATTAACATAATGTGAATTAATCCTTTTGCTATCTTGTTAAAAAAAAAAAAACCAAGCTCTTTACAGATGCAACTTCATCACACTTTTCATCAACATTTTGAAACAACAAGAAGTCCTGTGGCACCTTATAAACTAGCAGATTTATTGAAGCATAAGCTTTCATGGGTCTTTACCCACGAAAGCTTGTGCTAAAATGAATCTGTTAGTCTCTAAGGTGCCACAGGACTTCTAAATGTTTATGCAGATTTGGACTAACATGGCTACCCACCCCTCTGATACTTGTCAACATATTAAAAGGTTTTTTTGGATATTAAATTAGTGCAGGTGCATAGCCAACACACCACCTTGCCAAACTCCGACTGAGGTGAATAGGTGGTTTGTGTATGAAAGGTCAAGATGTTTCTGGCCCATTACCTGCACTCTATAGCATCCCATATTGACTTTTGCATGCAAAAAGTCTGTTTCCAGACTATAGCTGTGCTTCATTAGGAAGCATTCTCCAGGAAGCTGTGCTATCACAGATCACAACTGGAAACTAAAAATATGTTAATTGTACTCATGGGTTAATGCACAAACATGTATGATTGTTTTAAATCCACTTTTTGGACTACTGTGGCCAAACTTCTGCATCATACAAGACTGTGTATACAACCCCCACTCTAACTGCCTTTCAGCCCTCACTGGCCCCCTTTGTTCTGTAGCTTCAATTACCACAACATAAGTTATTCCATTGTCAGAGCCAATGACTTAATTATTAAGAAACATCCTTTGGCTCATCTGATTTCTCAATACTTAGTTTTAGGCTCTTTCCCCTTGTTTCAGCACTCTTACTATGTAAACAGGTCCTTCATTTTCACTATTTTATTTAATTTTCCCTAGGAACTTATGTTTATTACAACAAAATAGGTGAAAATCAGTGCAAAAACTATTAATTTTTTTTGGGGGGGGGTAAATATTGGGATTTACTTTGGTGGTTTGAAAGACTGGGGGCAAAGGAGTATTCAGTAGATGCTTTCAATTCTGTTCATCAATGAGATTTGCTGCAGATGCTAAAACACAATGCCACTTCTGAGAAAACAATTTAAAAAACAACATAACATTAAGTCTGAAATAAAACTTTTCATTTGAATAAACAGTTTGGACTTAGCATTATTATCATATAAACATTTACATTTAATAATTGGAACACACGATTTGCAGCTAACGATGTCATCCTTTTTTCCAGTTTTTCCTGTTACTTCCTTGTGTTCTGAAACACATTCTGCTACAGATTTGTTTTCTTCCCATGTTAGTGCAGCAGATCTTAAAACCATTATCTGCTAGCGGCTTGAAATGCATACACGGTGGGTGTGAGACCCATCACTATGTTCAGATGCCTACCCACATGCTTCAGACCTTGCATATGTGTGTTTGTTGTGTGTATCTTCTAGACTAATACATAGCCTTACTTCAACCAGCAGCTTTGCAACTATACACAGACTAATGTATCCATCATAATACATATCTCTCTTTCAATGTATTGTAATTTCATGATAAAACATGGATTTTTATGTGGCTCGCTCATACAAAAATGGACTGAAAAGAATAGTACTTTTTGTAAAACCCAACTTTTTTTTGTAAAAAAATGTTTAAATGGAAAACAAAGGGACTTATCTGTTAATTAGGAAACCATAACAAATCTTAGATAATCTTATGAAGTTTTCCTTTGTTTAAAATATTTGTTATTGAAAATCAAAGCTAAAAAGAATTAATGGACAAAAATTGTGGTATAGGAATGTCAAATAGCTGATCTGGTTTGTAGATGAGTGTTGCTAGTATTAACAAGGCTTTACTTATAAAAGCCCCTCCCAGCAAGGATTTGTTAACCTTTTACTTTGTTTATCCTCACTACCTATCATTCTTTTTCATCTACAAAAAAGGTGGCCAAATCTCATATATACTATTATCCTTAGTCATAGATCACTGAAATATTTTCATCTTCTCTCTACACCTTTTTATGTGTTGTCCCTTGGTTCCCCATAGCCAAGTAACTTTAGAAGTGCAACTTTTAATATTTTTAGCTTCTTATAAATTGCCCCCAGGACTGATCGGTGGTGAGCGAAGTGATTTTTAATTGTATTGTAGTCTTGGAGTATGACTGTAAGGCCCTGCATTTTGTAGGAAAAGTTTTGTTTCATATGGTAACAAACAAAATGGAAGAGACAGGAATCCCTGTGAAAGCAAGACAGTTGAAGGAGATGTTTCAAACAAGTTCAAGCTTTTATATACATTCAATGTTTCTAGTATGGTGATTAATAATAAATGCATCATCAACTGTCCTTACAGCTAATGCAGCCATAATATTGTACAATAATGCAGTCAGTATAGGAAAGCTCCATTATCTGTTTAAAAAAATAACCATTAACAGTTGCCTTGACTTTTTTAACTTATTAACTAATATACTGGGAATCCCAGTGAATAGATACAATAGAACACAAATTGGCAGCATCTACATAATCATCTTGGTAATGTAACTATTTCATATTACTTCTAAAGCAGCTTTGAAAAATCTTGCCACTGGAGGACACTCCAAAATAAACTCTCTCCAAATTATCTTGGTAATATAGCAGCACAGGAATTTATAGTCACTCTTTTTTTTTGTTTTCTGATACTGTAAACCTTCAATAAACAATCCAACATTGAAAAAGTTCAAGGTCAAATCATTTATTATTTTTAAAGGGGGTTAAAGGGCACATACTACAATGAAGATTAGATTATGAAATGTGAATTGAAACAGTATAATGCCAATTCTAGTTCACATTTGTACCTCGCTCTCCATAAATTAAATCTGCTAGGTGGAAAATCAAGCCCACAGTCAGTTCCTATTGTGTGGTTCCCTATTTTAAATATTTTTCATAAGTGCCTTGCACAAATGCACACAGTTTAAACATTTCAGATATTTTTACTCAGCAGAGTTTAAAAATAGATCACATTTTCTTTAGAAACATTTGTTTCATTAAATGCTTCTGTAAAATTAAAATAATTGCAAATTAGGAATGTGAAAGTGTAACCATGTAAAGGGTAAACCAGTGAGCCTAAGCTCATCAGTTAATGTTCACGGTTTCATGTTTTATCCCGTTACGTGGGGGAGCTGACTTAAGCTGGCTCCTGTGTGCGCACTGCTCCAAGGGAGCTGCCAGCCTCCGCATGATGGTGCCTCTCTATCAGAGGCAGCAACACATGGTGGCAGACAGGAGCTGGTACATATGGGAGCAGTCTTAAAAGCTGGCTCTCCATAAGTACCAGCTCCCAGGGCTGCAGGTAGAAGCAAGTATGCACGGGGAGCTATCTTAAAAGCCAAATTTCCATGAACACTGACTCCCTGGTAGTCAACTGCCATCCCGCGTGTAACCATGTAACCGCTGACATTTTCAGCAGTTAAACGGTTACTTCGTGACACACATTTTAACATCCCTGTTGCAAATTTGAAATGCAAGACTCACTCCATCTTTGCCCATAGACCATATAGGTGCCATGACTAAATAGCAATAAAAATGCTGAGATGCACAAATCTAAAAATAAGCAGCTTTGAAGACGAGACATCAATTACAACCTTAACGATGAACATATTACATTCCTAAGTTACTGCAGATATTTTGCATTTAATGCCACAGTTATATCATTGACATCTCAAGGTTGACTATACAGTTTTTCATTGTATTTTTTTCACTTTGAAAATACTTGTATGTTGTTATTGTACTTGTATCCAGAGCTTTCTAACTTGTCCCTGGACGTACATTTAGCTACAATTTCCATATTTTGAAAGTTTAATAGTAAAAAAATAAAAATACTTGACTTCGCTGTTTTAAAGTGGAACTCATAGAAGCCAAAAGCTTGTTAAAACCGACTTTGATGTATGTTGACATGACTGCATAAATCCTGGAACCATACATGTTAGACACTTTAAAGCTGTGTATTCTGAATTAATCTTATATAAATTGCAATTATTGTCTGAGAAGCCAACTCAGTCCATCCTTTCTCCTTGCTTATTCTCCCCGGAAGTGACAATAGGCATCTAAGGAATCTGGATGTCAGTGAGTCTGTCCAGCTAAAAGATTAGGATAATTTCTTCATCTTCTTTATTTCTGTAGAAAGTCTTAAGAAATTATCATGAAATACTTTGACTGTAGGGGTGAGCTGCAGGAAAAAAATACAGATCATCTGACTTCTTTTTTTAGGAAAATGAATGTGATTTTGGTGCTCAATTTGATAAACAAGTATAGTTGGAGTTAAACTGGAATTCAGATCATGTCTCATTCTTGCCAAATAAATTTAAATGTTTTTCTACTTTCAGGGATTTAGAGACAAAACTGAATTGGTTTCAAAACCCTGGAGGAGCTCAGCAAGTAAACAGGTCAGGATCAGTTGCTGATATGAGCCCATTAAAATGGGACACAAGTCAGGACTCTGGACTCCAGCTGTGCTCTGTAGAGGCAGGCACTTATGGTCTCATGGTTTCTGTGTATGTAGCTATAAAAGACATTTAACTGCTGAGGAAATAATTGAAACAGTAATTTCTTGCATGTCCAAAGGATTTCATTTCATGCACTCAAAGAATATCTGAATTAACGCATCCTTGTTTTAAGATGATATTGTTATGATTATGATGTATTGGCACAATTTGGTAGCATAAACACTTTCATAAAATATATGTATTCATATTTCAAACTGTTGTCCTGTCAGGAGACTCCACTAGATGGCTGTCCTTCGAGAAGTTAGTATTCTGACATCAAGTATGTACCATATTGAATTGTATACTCATGTCAGTGCTTGCAACTGAAAATAATTATAATTCACTCCGACTTTTTTAGGATTTTATCCCCTTGGATCTGTGAGGAATTGTAAGAAAATCAACACAATTACACAGCCTAAAGCAGCCCAAGTAACTGCTCCCCCAAGAGAAAGCAGGTAGGTCTTTGTCAGTATATTTAAATCACCCAGCTGCATTATTTTTTTAAAAAAAAAAAGCTCAAGGTTTTTGGGGCTCATTAAAATTAATAACAATATTATGTGATACTAGGATATAAATTGTTTGTAGAGTTTCTGAAAATAGCAAGTTAAATGTAAATATCTTTAATAAATAACTTTATTTCCTGCAATGTAAAAAATAAATGATACCTCCCTTTGGCAGTAATAGCTGATTTATATTTAGCCAGGAATTTCTGCTCATAAAACTAATATAATTGTGCTATTGGAAAAACATATTATTTTATTGTTTCGCAAGACTTTTGTAATCCATGGTTAGGCGGTTGACTTCACTTATGTCCCAGATAAGCTCCAAGGGTGATGCAAGCTCCCACCAGAGCAAGACTGAGGATAGTCTTCAAAGAGATCCAGGAGAAATCAAACAAAGGCCTCATGTTGCTGCCATACAATTCCACAAAGGCATCCTGGGTTGGGAGGAAGGGAAATAGAAGAAAAAAAAAAAGAGTATTAGAATCCATACCAATATAATTCCATAGCAGACAGGAACAAAAGATGTTTGTTGATTAAAGCTACATTAATAATGATAAATACAAATCATTCAGAGAAACTAAGAAAAGCACAAGAGTGACCTCTTTTGTATGCACATGTAGGTAACTCAGGAACCAGTTTAGCATACAAAATGCTACTAACATTAAGTTCTTTAGGCCAATCAGGAATCGTCTTTGTACAGCTCCTAAAACAATGGGCTCCCGGTGCTACAATGATGCAAATAACAAAGAAATGTGAGCACTTTCAGCTCCCATTGATGTCACTGGTATTTGTGGGTGCTCAGAACTTCTGAAAATGAGGGGACTTTTGTTTCGTTTCCTAAATATGGATTTAGGAACCGAACTTTAGGCAGACAGGTTTCTTTTTTTATGTATATAAATAATGGCTTTATTTTGTGAGCTTTACACATTTTCTTGTTGATATTGGCAGTGCATAGAAGATTGTTTTATAGACAAAAAAATGAATTTTTTAATGAAAAGTGTCAAAACATTTAGACACCAGGGTAAAAGATGAAAACTTTATGAAATATCTGGGTTGTGTGAGAATTATGAATCCAATAAGATTTATGCATTGAAATGATTAGTAACCCTACCAATGCACATATTAATCACACTTTGCACTTACATAGTATCTTTCTCCCAAGGAGCTCAGAGCTCTTTACAAATATTAATTAAGCTTTCTCTCCTAGAGGGTAGCTAAATGAAGAGACAAATTAAAGGACTTTCACAATGTCTCAAATTAAATTGGTGTTAAAGTTTGGAATAGATTTGTGGTTCCCATTTCCTGATGCAATTCCTATGCTCTTCTACCCAGATACTGATAGATACTGCTAACTACTACCATTGTTACTCCCCCCCCTCCCTTCCTTTCTGGACTTCTAATACTCCAGTCATCTGAAGAAGTGGGTTGTGCCCATGAAAGCTCATGATACCATCTACATGTTTCGTTAGTTTTTAAGGTGCTAGTAGTCTATTTGTTGTTTTTTAAGTTTTTCCTGTTACAGACTAACTCGGCTACCCCACTGAAGCTATTGTTTCTAAAGATTTTGGTGGCAGGGATTCAGTTAGTTGTAGAAAATAAACATTCCTTTTTTTCAGTTACACTTACTGTAAAATAGTGGTCACCAATCAGTAGATCGGGATCTACTGGTAGATCTTGGAGCCTGTGACAGGTGATCCTGACTGGTTTGGCTAAGGCTATCAAGCCCAGCACTTCAGCTGCCCCTCTCCTAGTGCATCTCTTGCCATTTGCCTTGGAGCTGTCCCCCACCCCCTCCCCAAGCAGAACAGGGAAGGGAGAAGAGGGGGCGCTCATGTCAGGGTGCCCCCTCTCCTACCTTCTTTTCTATCTCCTCAGAACAAGGTGGGGGGGGAGCACAACAGGGCTTGGGATGTAGTTTGCTGGCTGCTTTTCAAAGTGGTGCAAGGCCAGGGCCTTAGCCCCAGTGCACCACCACCCAGAGCTGCCTGACGTAAGCATTGTCCAGTTGGAGCCAGCATCCCAAACCTCTACCCCAGTCATAAACTCCATACTGCACCCCAAGCCCCTGTCCTAGCCCTGAGCTCCTGGACCCAAACTCCCTTACAGAGCCTGTACCCTGACCCTCCTTTGGCACACCCCAAATCCTTACCCCAGGCTCAGGTCAGACTCCAAATCCCTTAACCCAAGACTAGAGCCTGTGCTCCAACCCTCTGGCCCATCCTAGTGAAAGGGAGGGAAGACAGAGGGGGCAGGAGCCTCAGAGAAGGGGCACAAAGGAGGCAGGGTAAGGGGATTTGGGTTTAAGGTAGATCATGAATTGCACTTAAATTCAAAATGGGATCTTGTGCTTAAAAAGGTTGGAGACCATGGCTGTAAAATGTCGTCAGCCATCTATAATGTAACATATTATCCCAGCCTCCTAAAAATATACACGAGTACATTAATAAATTACAGCCATTGAGGAGAACAAAGCCTTTGTAAATTACATTAAATAACAATAAACCTTTCAATTATGCAGTGTGTTTTTCAAAAGATGTGGACATAGTGTACCATTTTACACTATCCTTTGTCATCTGATATCACAGGCTATTGTAGGTCAGCAGGGAAAGATTAGTTTTTGCCACAAGAGGGCGTGTACATTTTTTCTATTGAAATCCTCTTTAGTGGAAGTTTGGTTCTGAGGGAGATGTACTTAAATGGGAAACTGTGTCTACTTCCACAATTTCTCTATGTAATTAAACAACACCAGACCAATTCCAGCACCCCTTCTGGAGGCAAAACTCCTATTGCCTGAATTAGGGACTGTGGAACCCAAAGAATGACTATGTACAAAAAACGCATCTCTATTTATGATGTTGTTTTTTGACATTCCTTTAGACTAATATTTTCAAATGTGTGTTTCTTAAACATCCCCACATCCATATATAAGCAACTAAATAAAACTCTGTTTTTTAATGATGATCCATGGAATCTCTGAGGGCTGAGAAAAATCAGACCACTTACTTGGGTACCTAATTTTAGAAACACAAGGTTAATAATGCCATTCTTAATGTTTTGCCGTGTTGTTGGGTTGCAAAACACACTGAATGTGCTGTTTTTCAAAAAGCATCTTTTACTACTTCTCTTTAAGGCTATTAGACAACACAGACTTCAAGCAAATATTACAGAGTGGGCTGAATCCTACAATCCCCATTGCAGACTCACAGATTTCAATGGGAACTTTGTCAGTGCGGAGAGTTAAAGATCAAGCCTTATAAACATTCGTTGAGGACAAAGTTCAATATATAACAATAAAGCGACAGAGGAAATTAGAAGAAAAAAAGTGTTGAGAAAATGTAAGTCAAGTCCTATGAAAAGTTTTTAATGTTACATTTCAGTGCTGCCCTTTCTGAACAATCTTATCCTATTTCTGTTACACCAGTGGGAGCAGAAACATATCCTGTGTCAATTCACTCTCACCTCCCAGGTTTAGACGGTGAGCAGCCCAATTTATTACTAAAACTACTGCTGAGAGAGAGAGAGAGAGAGATCTTGGTGCCTGGCATGAAAGTAGACTAGAGGGATGCATTAACACAATGCAAAAGCTCTGATTTGTGACTCGACAAAAGGAATGTCAGCACAAAACATTCAGCATGAAACAGTTTGTTATTGAGACTATTATAATAATAACATGAACCCAACCTTATGGTTTCTGTACTATGTATTACAAGTAGCTACTTTATGGGTGCCTTTTTATTGCACTTTTGCCTTCTCAAACATCCTGATTAGGCTTATTTCCGAAGCCTGTTTGAACAGCCTGTCACTATTTGTTTAAGTTTCAAACCTGTTTTAAATAAACACAGGCCCATTTATGTATTAAAACAACAAAACATGGGAGCCTATCCCCCCCCATGAAAACTGTTTTAATGCTAAGAGAACAGGACATGTACGCATAATGTTTCATATGTTTCTATGTATATGTATCTTAATACTCATAATTAGATTTTTGTCATCTATGTTCATCTGATTAAAATGACTGTATTAAAAAACCCTACACGCTGCTTAATACAGACTGCCTGAAGAGTTTAAGTCCTCTGACAAATACTCTCCTTTGGTAAAAATGTTTTGCACTCACACAGAGGCTCAAAACCTGGACCTTTTGCACAGCTTGATGGGCCCTGAAGAGCTGCCATACTTACTGAAAAGAATTTAATAGAAAAGGATAACTCTTGTAGATTTTCATTTAAAAAACATAAAACTTCACAGAAAGTTATACCTCTGCAATAGAATTCTCTAAGACAGTTCCAGAACTCTACAGAATTTCCTTTGCTATTAAATTCTATAGGCTTTTCAACAGTAATTTCTATAGAATCCTACTGCACTTTTATTTAAAGCTGCTCTTTTACTTTAATCTCTTTAAATTATGTTAGACTTTTCTATGAGGGAAGGAGTGGTGAAGGAAGGGATGAGCTCCTCAGCTGCGTCTAGACTGGCAAGTTTTTCTGCAAAAGCAACGGCTTTTGTGGAAAAACTTGCCAGCTGTCTACACTGGCCGCTTGAATTTCTGCAAGAACACAAATGCTTTTGCGCAAGAGGGCCAGTGTAGACAACACAGTATTGTTTTGCGCAAAAAAGCTCCGATTGCGAAAATGGCGATCTGGGCTTTCTTGCGCAAAACCGCGTCTAGATCGGCATGGACACTTTTCCGCAAAAAGTGCTTTTGCGGAAAAGCATCCTTGCCAATCTAGACGCTCTTTTCTGCAAATGCTTTTAACGGGAAAACTTTTCCGTTAAAAGCATTTGCGGAAAATGATGCCAGTCTAGACGTAGCCCTCATGTAGCTGTTACATTCTTTTCTACAGTACGAAAAATAAAGGCTCGTAACTCTGGAACTACGTATACATCAAACTGCCCAAGCTCCATAAAAGTCTTAGCTATGATGTTCTACATGACCAGCGTATGAAGGCTTCCCATGATAGCTCTGCTGTCCCATATGCACACACAAGACTTAGAAAGATGATAAGCCCGCTAATTACCAGCCATGTCCACTTAGCCACCCAATCATTATTTAAGGGTAGCATTGCTGCAAATTCAGAAAGGCTCAGTATCTCTCACTCTTATAGCTGGGGGGGGGGCAGCTTTTTTAGGTTGTGTAGAACTAAATATTTCCCATACACTGAGTCCAGTGATGCATTAACAATGTGAGTTTTCTTCATTGAAAATACAAAGGGAAAAACCAGCTTAAGTGCCACACTCTGCATTTATTAGTAAAGGGGTGGTGGGCAGAGCAAACATGAGGAAGTAAGGACTTCCTTTTTCTACCTGAATCAAACAGCTGGTGAGGAAGTGACTTTATTTCCCTTGTTATCATTGGTTGACAGGATATCCTCTTGAGCCACACTGTATTGAATGAAGTGCCTATGAGACTTCCATTTCACTGAACGGGAATTGCCTT